TGTCTCTTAGCTCTGTTGGTGGTTTCTCTTGCAGTGCAGAAGCTTTTTAATAAGATGAGATCCCAGTTGTTGATTCTTTGTGCTAGTTCTCGTGCCACTGAGATTTTGTTCATAAAGTCCTTTCCTATGCCAATGTCTTCGAGAGTTCTACCTAACTTACCTTCCATCAAGTTTAGTGTTTCTGTTTTAATATTTAGATCTTTAATCCATTTCGATTTTAGTTTAGTGCATGGTGAAAGATAGGGGTCTAGTTTTAATCTTTGGCAAGTTGAGATCCAGTTTTTCCAACACTATTTATTAAAGAGGCTATCTTTCCTCCAGTGAGGGTGGTTGGCTCCTTTGTCAAAGATGAGGTTACCAGCTGAGTATGTCTGGAGTTGTTTCTGCATCTTCTAATCTATTCCACTGGTCCTCAGGTCTGTTTCTTTGCCAATACCATGCTGTTTTTATAACAGTAGCTTTGTAGTACAGTTTCAAGTTGGGAATTGTGATACCCCCTGCCATGACTCTGTTGCCTAGAGTTGCTTTTGCTATTCCAGGTCTCTTCTGGTTCCAGATGAACTTTTGGATTGTTTTCTCTAGTTCTGTGAAATATGCTGTTGGGATTTCAATCGGGATTGCATTGAATCTGTATAGCAGTTTTGGAAGTATGACCATTTTCACTACATTCACACTTTAATTCTTATCCTAAGATGAAATATAAAAACCTAAATATTTGGTAAAATAATTTCAAGTACTAAATTTAGTCAATGAGATTTTACTGTATGTTTTTTCTTTCTTAAGAGTAATAAATCTGGTATTAGAGGGGTTCTGATTTTCCTTTCTTTTCAGAGTATTTCAGATTTTGAATATTTGAACTTTCCTTCAAAATAATGTCAGAGGACACACTAAAAGCAGAACACTCACCTAAAATTCATCAACAAACTGATCAACCACAGGTCGCAGATAGAACATTTTTCACTGATGCTTCTAATCAGAGCTTGACAGCCTTTCCTCTAGAGATCTTGGCATTAAAAGAATTAGAGGAAGTGTATTTGGAAAATAATCACATTAAAGAAATTCCCCAGGATATTCAGCATTTAAGGAGTATCAGGATCCTCTACCTGGACAAGAACAACCTGAAGGGGCTATGCCCTGAGCTGGGGGCCCTGAGCAACCTGGAGGGCCTGGACTTGAGCGGCAACCCCCTGGCACCCTCCTCCCTCCAGGTTCTCAGCAGCCTGAGTGCCCTGCGAGAGCTGCGGCTCTACCACGTCGACCTGGGGGAGATTCCCGTGGTGATCTGTAAAAACCTTCACCACCTCGAGCTGCTCGGACTGTCCGGAAACCGCCTAGAATCTCTGCCCAAGGAAATAGTGAACCAGATCAAACTGAGGGAGATCCACCTGAAGCAAAACCAATTCAAGCTTTTTCCTCAGGAGCTCTGTGTTCTCCACAACCTGGAGATCATTGACCTGGATGAGAACAAACTCAGTGCCCTCCCAGAAGAAATTGGGGATCTGAGGAGGCTGCAGAAGTTCTACGTGGCTCATAACAACCTGCCCTCTCTGCCCAAGTCGCTATGCCAGTGTAGCAAAATGACTGTGCTCGATTTATCCCACAACCTCCTCGAGTGCATGCCATGCACCCTTGGAGAGCTCACGGAGATGACAGAAATTGGGCTGAGTGGGAACCGCCTGGAGAAAGTGCCGTGTCTCTTCTGCAGTTGGCCCTCGCTGCACCTGCTCTACCTGCACAACACTGGCCTGCGGGGGCTCCGGAGCTCCTTCCAGCAGCTGCTCAACCTTCGATTCCTGAATCTCAGCCAGAACCACCTGGCCCACGTCCCTTCTCAGATTTGTGCGCTGAAGAACCTGGAAATCCTGGCGCTGGATGATAATAAAATACGGCAGGTTCTGACCCCCTCCCTCCCTCATACACAGCCTCTGCTATCACTATGCTCAGATTCCCAAGGGTCCTTCCTGCCCTAGATTGGTATAATTCTCTGACTAAACAGGCCAGTAAACCACACCAGTACTCCCAGCACTTTGGGAAGCTGAGGCAAGAGGACTACAAATTGAAGTCCCACCTGGGCTGTTTAGTGAAATCTTGTCTCAAAATGAAACATTTTGAAAAGGAGAGGCACTGGGGATGTAGCTCAGTAGTAGAAAACCCTGGATTTGATCCCCAGTAGCACAAAACAAACAGGAATTTGAACTGACTTTTAGGCAAAAAGGCAGGGTTTTCAGTGTATACCAGAAGGTATGCATTTAACTTTTGCATTACTTTCTTTCCTCCTAAATAGCAGTAGTAATCATACATAGTAGGCATTGTTTACTTGGGCTTTTTAGAACATATATCTGCCTGCACTGAGTTAAATGTTCTGTACAGATTATCTCATTTAATTCTTCTTCTTATTATTATTTTGTCTGATATATGATGAAAATGGTGGACAAGGAGCCTTGTCCAAGGCCACATGGCCCATAACTGACAGAGCCAGGATTCCAGCCCAGAGCTTCTGGGCATCCAGGTTTAAATTCTTAACCAAGACCACTTCCTGACACGCATTCCTCCCCAGCAGGTTTTCCTGACACAAATGCTTTAGGCCTTAATGCTCCGTTCATAGGAAACTACAAAAACAGATTTGTTCCTAGAGACGCTGTCTGCATGGATGCAGGCTTGTGTGTTCAGCCTGGTCATTGCAGTGCTGGTGATGATTGTGAAGTATGGGAGGCAACCAAAGTCAGCAGGGAAGTGGGCAAATGAACTAGGCTGTGTTCCTAACAGAGAGAGCCCCTTAATACTTGAAGTACAGTGGAGCATTGCTGCCAGTGTGGATAGATCTCCAAATTGTGGTGTTTCTTAAAAAGGAAAAACACCAGAGCCAGAGATTTAGCTCAGTGGTTCTGCCACCTGGCTCACAAGTGCAAGGACCTGAGTTCAATCCCTGGTACCAAAAAAAAAAAAAACAGAAGCAAAAAGAAAAAACACCAAATTGCAGAATCTTATGAAATCATTTATTCATTTTTAAATCACACAAAACAACATATATAAATAAATAAATACCTTCACACCATGTAATTTTTGAATATTCATATGTAATAAAAGTGTAAGAATATGAATTGGAAGAAAATTCACTGAGTTCCTGATGGTAGCTGGCTACAGCTGGGAAGAAGAAAGTCAATAAAATGGGAAAATGGGGAGGGGATCATAGAGGAATTTAATTTTAATTGCAATATTTTATTTTATTTATTTAAAAATTTGTGCAATTTTGGGGGAGTTGTTTGAAACAGGGTCTTACTATGTGGTCCTGGGCCCAGGCTGGCCTCAAATTTAGGGTTCTCCTGCCTCAACCTCTGAAGTCATACCCAGCTTGTTTCTTGATTATTTTTTAATATTTGAAAATTATTGCTATTCAAAGCAAAAGATAACTCTAGAGGGAGAAAAGGGAGATTTAGCAATCAACAACTGTAACCAGATAATAGTGTGCTTTTCCTAGCCATTAATACCAGTCTCATATATTTACTATGGATTATAAAACTCTGGACTGTAAAGGTTTATATTTTAAACAGGTTTTATTTGATTTGTAATTTCTAGAAGTTTTTGTTTCTTCCTAATTGCTATGGGGCTTTAAAACTACATTTCAGGAAGTAAAATTTTTGATGGTAACATGAAAATTTAGAAAAGAAACCTAGGACTTAATCTTTACTGAGGTAGTAACCTAGCCTGGAGGATTTTCAAGATTTCGTGAAAGCCCATTCACTACTCCACCCCTGCTCTAAGAAATACCTTTAATGGACAAAGCCTTTCATTCCATAGTTAGAATAAAAGACTCAAAATATAAAGTACACTTGGGACGGTTAACACATTGACCTAACTCTAGTCAAACCATGAGTTATACCTAATCCTTTCCTGAAAGGATTTGCAAGATCCAATTCCAATTTTTACCACAAGTCAAACCACACTGAAGTTGAAGACATGTTAAATAATTTTATAATGAATATAATAATTTATATGTACCATTGTTTTTGTTCTTGAGCTATTCTGATGGTTTTGTGCACATGGGCTTTTGTTCTCCCTTCTCAGTTTCTTCTTGCACTAATACCTCCTGTACCCTGCATTTTTCTCCTACTAACAATGGTCTTTGTTATGGTTTGAGTCTTGATGTTCCCCAAAGCTTCATGTGGACATAGGCTGGATCTAGAGTGTGTGAAGCTGGAATTGATTCTTGATGCAATGCTAGGCTCAGGGGCACTAGGATTAAGGGTGTGAGTGCTACCTGTGCTAAGTAGTCTGAATAAGATAAAAGGGGCAGGGAGATGCTGTTAAATCCTCCTCTTGTTACCTTTGCTACCTTGTTTGTACCATGTTGTTTCTCCTGTGCAATGTCTGTTTGACATCCCTGTCTTGGAGCCAGCCAACCTTAGACTGAAACCTCTACAAACTGTAAGCCAAATAAACCCCTTCCCCTCTAACTTTGGGTGTCAGGTATTTTGTCTCAGCAATGACAGAAAAGTAACTAAAACAATCTTAAATCAGCTCCTTATCTCTCCTACCCCAGACTCAACTGATGGGTTTATGGCTCTTGAAACCTGGCTCTTAGCTTCTCCTTGCCTAGGTGGATGCAAAGCTAGCTGACTTTCAACATGTACTGAGACAGATTTTATTTTTAGGTACATTTATATTAAAGGAGAGAACCAAAGCATACATTCAACCTCAAAATGGTTATAAATCTGCCTTATTTACTTTCTAATTGCCAAGACACAATACCTGACATCCCAACTTAAAGGAGGAAAGGTTTATTTTGGTTCTCATTATGTAGAGATTTCAGTCCATAGTCAGCTGGCTCCAAGGCAGGACAGCATGGAAGAGGGGCATGGCAGAGGAAAAGTACCTTCATGACTTGGCAGCAGGGAGCAAAGAGAGGAATCAAGGAAGGAGAAAGGGAGACATACCCTTGAGAATATACTCTTCCAGACAATACCCACAGTGGCCCATCTCCTCCAACCAGGTTTCACCTCCCAACATCACATTTAGCTATAAAGTCATCAGTGGACTAATCCAATGATGAGTATCATGCCCCCATGATCCAATCACCTCCCCAAAGCCTCACTCATGAGCACATGAAACTTTGGGGGGACATCCAGGTATAAGCCACAACAAGCTCAGTTTATAGTGTTAGCAATATTTGTCCCTTAATTGATGCTGTGCAAATTCTTTATATGTCCATATTTATTTCCATTTTACATTAATATGACTATAATGAAACTAAATAGTGGATCTTGAATATCCTGGAAAAAACTCTTTGAGCATTTAAATATGATTTGAAGAAAGAAAAGTAAAATCTATGAATTAAGTAAACAGCAATAATGAAGTAACTAGATTGAAAACGTTTCCTATTGTTTTGGTCTGAGCTGAATGCAGATGTTTTATACAATAGTGATGGGATCTAAGTGTCTGAGAAGGAATTTTGACACTGGGTGTGGTGGCGCAGGCCTGTGATTCCAGTACTCTAGAAGCTGAGGCCCGAGGATCACTGTGAGTTCAAGGCCAGTTTGGATTCTATCATGAATTCAGGGCCAGCCTGAATTACATAGTGAGACCTTGTCTCAAAAAAAAAAAAGAATTTTGAAATAGCCAAGGAGAAGAGCTTAAACATTATTTTATCTAGAGTTGTCTTGATATGATTTTGTATAAAAAATTAAAACTGGAACTAGCCTATAATATTTTTAGGAAAAGGAGCACGCACCTTACACAAAAACAGGAAAAATTCCAATTATGTGAAACTTTTACTGACATAGTACTCATATGGTGGGCTTTCTTTTTGTCTCCGACTTCGAGTGACCAATTATCCAATGATTTGTCTCTTTGACCCCGGTATGGAGAGAATGTAAGGAGGGGTGGTCGAGACAAGCTGAAGTCTAACCAGAATGGAAAGTAAATTGGAGGATTAGAGAATGGATGTGGGGAATGTCCAAGGGCTACAGCAGGAAACTATGAAGAGGGATTTCCTGGTTAGACATAAAACCAATTAAAGAAATGCATGAGTTAAGCTGTTGAAATATATAGGTAGGCTTTTTCTTTCTAACAAGAAAATAAGGAATTTCTGTTACTGTTACACTACTGATAGGGTGATTACATTGTATATATGAAGAATGAGATTTTTTTCCATGTGATTCCAGAGTGCTAGAAAGAGACCAATAGGTGGAACACAATAGTGATAGATTATGACTTGACAAAAGAAGGAAATTTCATGATTAAAGGGCATCATGGAAGGTACATAGTGAAAAAAAAGCTTCATGGAAGCTTTTCCTTCCAGGAGATGGTGAATAATGAAAGGTCAGATGGCTTGTACAGAACATACTAAACCACTGTAGTAGAGGGTTGGAATAGAGAACTTTCTCAGGGCCATCCAGTCCCCACAGTCTGGCAGTCTGTGAAATGCCTACCCAGAACCTACATAAGGCATCCAAGCCAGAGTAGTCACTGGAGGGCACAACAACAAAACAATATAACCATCTTCATTAGATATTCTGATTAGAAATGACCTGAACATTGGGCTGGGGATTTAGCTCAATGGTTCCGCTGCCTGCCTCACAAGTGGAAGGATCCAAGTTCAATCTCCGGTACCAAAAAGAAAAAAAAAAGAAATGACTTGAACATATGTTTGTTTGCTTACAACTAAGATTTCAACTGAAATTTCAAACTTGCTAAGTCAAATATTTTTAAGGTGAAGGGTGGATCTGAATTTATTTTGACTATTTTTATTGCAATATAACACATAACTTGAGTACTTTTTCAATAGTGTCAAACATTTTCTATGTGATAGTTCATAAAAAAGGGAGTTAAAATTGCTCCAATCTAAAGTAGTGCATAAAAGTAAAAAGAGAAGTGGCAGTAAAAAAGTAGAACCAGTCCCTATATGTCAACTTATGTGCAGACTTTTTGTCAGTAAGAGAAACTGCTTTCTTTTTGTTTAGACATCTGCCTACAAACCAAAAGCCCAATTTATTTTCTAACTGTTCAGACAATCAACCTGAAGCTTACCTTTTGTAATACTTCTAGTTACCTTCAGAGTTGGACTCACTTTCAAAACTGAAGATACTTGGACTGTCGGGAAATGAGTTCCTTTCCTTCCCAGAGGAAGTATTTTCTTTAGCATCTCTGGAGAAATTATACATTGGGCAAGACTAGGGATCCAAGCTTAGTTGTGTTCCAGAACAGATTGGGAAACTTCAGGTAAGCCTCCCCTATGAAGCACATCCCACTGACCCCTTAACTTGGCTGACGTTGAAAGAGCAGTAAGTGTCCCACAGGCTGGGTGTGAAACCATCCATATTAGGGTTTCAGTTACAAACAAGTGGTCACTTTTACATTTTGAAGCTTCCACTATCACTGAACAACCTCACAACACTTTATTGTACTTGCAATGAATTTTTGGCTTGTTTGTTTGTTTGTTTGTGGTACTGGGAATTGAACCTAGGACCTTGTACATGTTAGGCAAGTGCTCTGCTACTTAGCTGTATCCCCAGTCCTTTTTCATTTTTTATTTTGAGATAGGGTCTTATTAAGTTGCCTAGGCTGGGCAAAACTCATGATCCTTCTGCCTCAGCCTCCTGAGTAACCACCCCATCCAGTGATGAATGCTGTTAGATATGTCATGCCATACTTTTCCCACTGTGTGTTTTTCACATGTTTCATTTGCAGAAATTGAGTCACACTTCCTTCCAGTTAGTTCCCATTTTTCATAAGTAGCCCTTGGAAAACTATATTATTGTGAAATTAAAGTACTGTATGGGTGACATTTCTGGGAGCCTACATTCTGTGTCATGTTGCACCAGGTTCATGCTGATGCTGAATCCATAGGACTGTGTTGAGTTGTAGCAAAGCAACAAGGTAACCGCATTCAACATAGCCTTACTAACGTGTCTTTAGAGAACTGTTAATTTTTTCATGTCCCTGTTATGGTGCTCTTGAAAATGATAAAGTAGATGTGTACTACTAGTAATTCCCAGCTATAGAACCAAGAAATGGCATGTACAACACAGGAAGTTCTCAATATGACATAGAGATCTTATTCCTAATTCTCCATTTCTTTGCCCTACATCCACAGCATAACTTTCATTCTCTTGCTCCTTCTTACATGTCATACCACAATCTTAGGGTGAAATCCAAACATTAAACTTTTGCCAATAAGTTAAAAATAGTTACATTTTAACTATTGTTTGTGTGTTTTGGCTACTTCTGCTTAGATATGATGTTGTGTTACATATGATGTTGGCTTAATAGTTGAAGCCATTATAGTTCTGTAGCAACTGCCCGCAGATAACTTGCTGTTAAAAGAAAGCAAATGGTAAATGCAGTTAAGTAACCCATTACTTTTTCATAAAGTTCTAAATGAACAAAGTTATTATATTCTCTTTTCCATGCATAAATGAAAACCAAATTTAATGGCTTTATTAAAAAATAATTGTATTCCTTGATTTTAGTCCTTCAAATGTTTTTCCTTCTATCCCAATGCATGATTTGCTCATCAACTTTAGTTATTACAATTCATTTATCAAGATAAGGATCATTATGGTAGCATTATGATATACTGTCATGTTATTTCAGAGCCTTAAAGAACTGTATATAGAGAAAAATTGTCTGGAGTATCTGCCTGTATCCTTGGGGTCAGTGCCTAAGTTGGAGGTTCTTGATTGCCGGCACAATTTGCTCAAGCAACTCCCAGATGAAATTTGCCAAGCACAAGGTGAGGAAGTTTAGTAGATTCATAGCCTAGTAGAATTTGAGGCCAATTTCCATAATAAATGGATTCCTTGCCTTACTAAGGACTTTCTCAGTATTTGGAGAGCTGAACCTTGCCCTATCCCCTCTTTGTAGGGCTCAGTAATGACATGAAGGAGGCGAGGCAGAGTCTGACAAAGGTACATTGAATTGAAAAAAGAAAAAAAAAAGAAAAAAGAAAGAAAGAAATAGCAGCTGCTAACACAATTGGCATACATCCATACTTTCATCACACTCATCAACAACAGTTGTCTACTGAAAACATACTATAGTATATGCCAGAATGTGAAGATGCTATCCTGCAGTCAATTGTCATCTAGGTCACTAAATCACTTGAATTAAAAGAAAGGTATTGACGTGGAGTGGTAAAATCAGCAAGGGGGACTTTAGGAGCTATGTAGTTGACTTGGAAAATCATATATGATTTCTACTTAAACATCCAAGCATTTTCCACTAGGCTAAATCATTCTTTACCTGTACAACTATCCATCCATCTATCCATCCATCCATCCATTCCACATAACAAGCTTTGCTGAGCACTTCCTGGGACCAAATAAAAGTTTTTGCCGTAATGTGCCAAGTCTCTGGGTTTACTGACATATTTTCAAACTATGGCTGCTCTTCAATGAAAGGAAGATGAAGAAATATGAGAGTAGGGGCTGTTACCTACAAGCAAGATATTTAAAAACTGAGGGCAGAAGTGGGGTGCAGGTATCCTTAGTAATGCTTTTGACCATACATTCTCATCCTGTCCTTGGTCCCTGCAGGAGTGAAACATTCTCAACATTTTTCAGTGTTGACCATTTTCCTAATACTTATTTATCCCCAACAACTTTTGAGTTGTCATAAAGAACAGAATTTTGCCTCAGATGTTTTCTGTTACTTGGCATGGCAAGTTACAAATATTTCAAAAGATTTGGACTAAAGAATTCATATTTTAATATTGCCTGTTGTTTTGTTTTGTTTCATTTTGGGTTTTTGTTGTTGTTGTTTTGGTACCGGGGATTGAACTCTGGACCTTGTGCTTCTGAGGCAGGCAGTGGCACCACTGAGCTAAATCCCTGGCCCACATTTTATTTTGTTTTGCAGTTCTGGGGATTGAGCCCAGGGTTCTCATGCTGAGTTACATCCCCAAGCATTTTCTATTTTTTATTTTGAGACAGGGTCTTGCTAAGTTGCTAAATTGGCCAGGTGGGCTCAAATTAGCAATTCTTCTGCCTCAGACTTCCACAGTGCTGGGATTGTAGGTGTATACCAACACACCCATCTACTTTTAATATAGCATATAATTTGTATTATGTTCCCCAAACATCCAGTCTCAAGACAAAATTTCCTATATTTATTTCATCTTTTGGTCAACCAAATTTGGAAAGTGGCTGAGTTTGTAAACTATTTATCACTGAGTATGATTTAAATGTAATTTTGCTTTCCTCCTTCCTTAATACTGCATATTACCAGCTTTCATCTCTGTCTCCTTGATTGATGAAATACTGCATTTCAGTGTTTAATTTACCTTTTTTCCATTGGGTGATGTTGAGTATCTTTTCTACATTTACCAGCAATTTTTCTTTTTCTTTCGGTGAATTACTTAAGATAGTTCCTTATGGTGGCTGGGGGTATAGCTCAGCGATGTTGTGCCTGCCTAGCAAGCGCAAGGTCCTGAGTTTGGTCCCCAGTATAGGGTGGGAGGACAGATTCTCATGCTAAAAATATAGACTCAAACCATTTTATACAATACCACTTTGATTTTTAAAGTTTTATGTACATGTATTTCTAGACCTGCATGTGCCTGGATAGATATTCTCTGTCAGTTCTCACTGAAATCTGATAATAGTGGTTCCTTGTGACAATTAAGATGTGGAAAGTTTGGTGAGGAAGGGAGAATTGTTTTTATACTTTCTTGCTGTTTTGGAATGTATACATTTCTATTTATACTAAGCTATTTTTTTCAAAAATAATTTATTTGTTCAGTTGAGAGCAGCAGGACTACATGAGACAGGTGCCACTCATTCCACTGTCTTCAGTGATCAGGAGATCACATTGATGTGTCCAAGGCTGGAGCAATAATGGGGACTAGCAAGGCCCACAGACAACTAGTGTCCCATCAAAAGCCTTCAGAGTCAGTTCTTCCTAACAGTGGTGACCTAAGGGACGTTTGCCAGTTTTACTGTTAGTTTGCCACTGCTGCTATAAATATATTTGAATAAGAATTTCTGTTCTGTTTATTATGAGGAAGGACAAGCATAATGACAAACATTTTATTAAAAAGGTCTATCATTTTTTGTACAAGCTTCCTCTCATTCCTCTTATAAATGGAGAGGTGGGTCATTCACATACCTGGTCAGGGCTAGGCACCAAGTTAGTATTGCTTGTTTCTATGAGAAATTCACCATTTGAAACAAAATCTTTCCAGGTCTAAGAGAGTTGCTGCTGGAGGACAACTTGCTCACTCATCTTCCAGAGGATTTGGACAGCCTAGAGAATCTTAAGGTTCTAACACTGGTGAATAACCCCATGGAATACCCCCCTGTAGAAGTGTGTGCAGAAGGCAATGAGGCCATATGGACATACCTGAAGGAGAGCAGAAGGGAGAGAAGAAAGACAACAAAGGTGAAGTGAGCATGTATCCTGTTAACATTCACAGCTGCTTTGGAGGTGGTCTATTGTTAAACACATTAGATTCTTCTACGGGGTGGCTCTTTACAGTGCTTTATACATCTGCAGTTTGTCTTTCTCAAAGGGATATTTACTCTTATAACCCTAGATTTAAGGGAGAGAATTTTTAAATTTTGACCCTAGGATTTTGTCCTTTATGTCTCTTATCTCTTTGTCAAGTAAGAAACCAACAAACAGGCAAAAGAAACTAAAACTTCAAAATCTAAGACAATCTAAAATTCTTGGACTATTTCACTATTGTGAAAAAACTTCTGTTAACAAAGATATAAGGAAATATTAAAAAATTAGAAATGAAAGCGTTTACAGATCTGAAGTCTAGAGACTACTAAACTAGGATCAGAGCTCTGAGACCTTTGCAGTTCAGCTCTTCCCCACTGATTCCATGAGATACCCCAAGCTGCGGATGTGTCCACTGCAGTCAGTATTCCTTATTCTTTAGCTGGTCCAAGTCCCCATCATCTCATGCCTGTGTGGCTATGCTAGTTCCCACCATCTCTGTTTCCATACTTGTTCCCCCTACACCATGCCTTCTACTCAACAGTCACACGAAGGCTGTTGAAGCACTGGTCAGATCTTGCCACTCTGATAAAATCAACAGTTCTTCATTTCACCTAGAGTGAGAATCAGTCTTTGATCTGCAAGACTCTTTATCAGTGACCCTCAACTCTACCAGGCTCAACACAGTCCTTTTAATAATAAATATTTTGTGATACCTCCATTTCTTTCCGAAAAATTGTAGTCCAGGTCAAAAAGCACACACTTGTAATTTCAGCTAGTCAGGATGCTGAGGCAGGAGGATTGCAACTTTGAGGCCAGCCTGGGCAACTTAGTGAGACCCCATCTCAAAATATAAAATTAAAAAGGGCTAGGGATTTAGCTCAGAGTGAGGCCTTGCATTCAAGTCCCTGTACTACCCCAAAACTTAAATTTGTAAATAATATATAGATAATATATGTAGATAATAACTGACAAAGCACGTATTTTCAATAAATAAAAAATGTCAAGCTGCAATATAAAGAGGAAAGTAATTTATGTTAAAATATCTATTTCAATGTGTATATACTCAAGAATGACTATGTTAGAAGAATCAAAGCCATATTTTTATTGGTTTCTTTCTAAAAGACATTTTGAAAACTCTTGTACCCCTTTGCACATTTTAAAATTGATATTTAAAATATTAACCACAAAGTTGAAATCAAGGTGTGGGACAAAGAGACAGATGCAGATGGGGAGGAGAAGTAAAAAGAATTACAGCGTGTTATGTGCAGATGTTGGATGTGATCATTCTGTACTATAGACATATACTCATAAAATTAAAAAGTAAAAAAAAATGACAAAGGATGCTATTTCCAGTATAGTTTCAGTGTTGATATTTTAAAATAGAGCTATTAGACTGATACTTGAAATAGTGTGTATCCAGTAGAAGCTCTTTTTTATAGACAGAAATTGTATATCCTAGTCTTTTTTCCTTGAACATATATTTCCATCACACTTTTCCTCTGAATTACTACTAAGGTTATACATGTGCTTGTTTTTTCCCTACAGTGCTGGGGATCAAACCCAGGGTGTCACACAAGGGCTCTGCCACAGAACTACACCTCCAGCCTTTTTTTCATAGATTGTCCTTTTGCATTTTCAGGCAACAAAATATCCTGTATGAATTCTGTTTTAAAATTTAATTATTTCTGTGACCATAACTTTTTAATATTCTAGACTGTTATATTACAGTTGTTAGTAGTATAAAACCATCCCAAACACTATTATGTTTATTACAAATTTTGATGAATATTTGACATACATGGTTTTTTTAGAATAATATACTCAAACAAGAGGGTCTTTTTTCATTTAGTGTGCAAATCCATGCATAAATATTACCGCTTGGTAGACTGAGACAGGTCTTTATTGGAATTTCTATTTTTCATTTTATAAATGAAAGCCCTCAGAAACCTTGTTCACATAGATGAGTTGAAGCTTTTTATGCCTATATTATTTGTTTTAAATAATAATGCCTCACATATTTCTTCCAGATTAAAATTCCCCTAAATCAGATAGCAGGTCTCAGTTGACACATAAAACTAGACTTCAATTTTCTTGAAAGTTGAGCTGGAAGCCACCTGATTTGCAAAAAGATTGGTTACTTAGTCTTGAGTCATTTGTTTTCTCAACATCCACATGAACATTTGAGCTGTCACTTTTCTGGGTGTTGCAGAGAGTTTCAGAGTCCAGGGCAAGGCACGCCAGTAAGACTTGGGGGTGAGGGGTTGTGAGGAAGTTTGCCCGTCCCCCGTAAATGCCAGAGGGCTAGTTGCGAGGTTGGATCTTAGGAAAGGGCACGTGAGGAAGTTGGAGCTCAGGAAATGGATTGCCTTCAGACTATCCCGGACTGCACACTTTCAGAAAGGCTTTGGGGACTAGGGCATCCCTCACACACCAGGAAAGACAACAAAAATCCCTGTTGGCCGGGGATTTAGCTCAGTGGTTTCGCCGCCTGCTGCGCAAGCGCAAGGACCCGAGTTTGATCCCCGGTACCAAAAAAAAAAAAAAAGCCCTGTCAATTTCCAAAAAATGCCTCTAGGGGGCATTGTTCCCTGAAGAATTACTAATCATTGCCCTGTTCTCTCGACTTTCCTCTTCTGCTTTAGTCACAAACCAGATCCTAGGTGTTCTTTCAAGTGCCAAGCATGCCCTGCCTCAGAACCTCCCCTCTACCGGAGGTGTTTCCTTCAGATACAGGCAAGATTGTGGCCCTTACTTCGTTCCATTTCTGCTCAAACATACTCTTACTAGAGAGGCCTTTCTCCACCCACCTTATATAAGACAGCAACCAACTTATTATCATTTAATTAACAAATATGTATTGAGTTTCCACTATATCCTATGTACTAGAGATATATTAGTGAAAAAAAAGGAGACAAATATTTTTGTCTTCATATTGCTTAAAATCTAGTGGAAGAGGAATAAAAAATATTAATAACAAAACATAAAATTACACACTGTGTTACAAAGTGACTACCAGGGAACAAAGAGTTCAGCTAAAAGGAACTAAGATTGTCAGAAGTAGTGTGTATGTGGACAGGGGAAGATGCTGATTTACATCAGGTGGTCAGGGTAGCTCTCACTGCAAAGATAACTGTCTTGGTTAGCTTGGCCTGCCATAACAAATACTATAGAATGTAGGGTTTAAACAACAGAAATTTATTTTCTTATAGCTCTGGAAGCTGGAAGTCTGAGATCAGGATTCTAACATGGTCATGTTCTAGTTAAGGCCTTCTCCCTGGATTTCAGTTAACAGCCTTCTCTGTGTGGGGGGGTGTGGGGGGGGCGAGTTCTCTAGTTTCTCTAATGAGGGCAATAATATCATCCTGAGGGCCCCAACCTCATGACCTCACCTAAGCCTAATTAGCTCCCCAAAATCCCATCTCCAAATACCATCACATTGGAGGTTAGGGCTTCCACATACAAAGTTGAGGAGGACACAGTTCAGACCACAGAATGACAACCGAGCCAACACTAGGAGGGGTGAGCCATCTGAATACTGGAAAGAACATCTGAGGCAGAGGAAGCAGTGAGGTGAAGGCCCTGAATTAGGAGTGATCCCAGTGAACCTAAGCAAGAAGACCTGCATAGCTGCAGCAGGGTGAGCGAGGGAGTCTAAAAGGTCAGAAGGAGGGACAGATTTGATAGAGCTCTAATTCATTGTAAGGACTTCGGCTTTAATACTGAGAGAAATGAGAGGCCACTGCGAAGTTCTGGGTAGTCTACTACTAGAGGAGAAGGTTCCTGAAGCAACGGAAGGAACAGGATTCAGGGAACAAATGGGAGGCTGGTTTTAGGTAGGAGCTCAGACTGGCTGATTGAGAAAGATTGAAAGTAAAGTTTGGAGTTCTAATCACATCTCATCCTCTACATCTTTAAGACCCCATACTAGAAAAAAAAATTAACTGTCCAGTTTATCATTGCTTTAGTTTGTTTTCTGTTGCTGTTACAGAATATCTGAGACTCAGTGACTCAGAGAATAAAGGTTTATTTTGCTTTGGCACATGGTTCTCCAGACTGGGTGATCTAAGAGCTTAGCAGTGGTGTCTGGCAAAGGTGTCATGATATGGTGGAAGGAGAAAGCGCAAAGGAGCAGATGTAAAAGAGAGACAAAAGGACTTTACTTTGTATCAGCTGGCTTTCGCTGTAACTAATCTAGATCCAAGAGAGCAAGAATACACTCCTGAGAGAATAACCCAATCTTGTGAGAGCAGCATAAACCTTCATGATCCTAGCAGCTCTTAGAGATCTCACCACTGGGTCAACACCATCTCGTTGGGAATCAAGTTCCAGCATGAGTTTCAGAGAAGACAAACATGTTCAAACTACAATGGTCAGGATGCTAGCGGACGCTGAGACTGGGTTTCTCTTGTTTTCAGATTCAGGCCTGGTGGCGTGGAATCATGGTACGGAAAGGATTGGGGAAATTTGAAGAACTACAAAAAGCAAGCAAGAAAGAAAAGACCTCCCCAAAAGATAAGAAAGGAAAGAAGAATGGAAAAGGAAAACCTGGAAAAGGAAATAAGAAATAATTCTATAAATTCATGAGTTGAAGCAATAAACCCTATTAGATTAAGAAGGTAAAATATCTACGAATTAGATACCTTCCACACTAAAACTATCCATAAAATGATGGTTCTTTAATTTCTTTCATTTTTAAATTTTTATTAGTACATGTTTGCATTACATAATGTTTACATTCCTTGTGGTGAGTTGGTACATGTACAAAACACATTCCTTTTCTTTTCTTTTCTTTTTTTTAAAGGAGGAAGGTTTATTCAGCTCACAGTTCATAGAGTTTTCAGTCCATAGTCGGCTGGCTCCAAGGCAGGGTGGCAGGGCAGAGGGGCAACAGTTCATGGTGGTGGAAGACAGCAAAAGCAACAAAGGACCTTAACAGCGTCTTTCTGCCCCTTTTGTCTTATTTAGACTACTTAGGGTGGGCAGCACTCACACCCTTAATTCTAATGCCCTCAGCCTTGCTCCACCAGGAATCAGTCACACACTCTAGACTCAGCCACTTCTGAAAAAGCACAAGGCTTTGAGGGGACAGCTAAACACAGCCATAACATTCCACCCCTGGCCCTCCAAAGACTCATGATACCCCTTTATACAAAAAAGCATTTAGTCCATCTCCAAGAGTTACCAAAGATGTAATGGTTTCAGCATTGCTGAAAAGTCCAAGTACAAAGTCTTCTCTGAGATTTAAGGCAAATTTTTACTTGTGAGCTCCTGTACAAATGAAAAGAAAGTTAAACACTTTCAACACTCAATGGCACAAGATAGACATTTCCATTCCAAAAGTTACAAATGGGGATCCAAATGAATGGGACCAAAGCAAGTCCAAAATCCAGCAGGGCAAACATTAAATCCTACAGTTACACTTCCAGCATCCCTGGCAATCTGTGGCAAGTTGTGAACTCCAAAGGGCTTGGGTGGCTCTTCCTATCACTTCTAGTGGTGGTAATTCCCATGGTGTCTCTCTTGAGCCGGGTCTGCTCCCTCCTTGCAGCTTTACTCAGAAGATCCACGCTCCTGGCTTCTGCAAACTTCTGGGATCTCCACTGTACCCTCAGCTTCACATGCACAGCTTCACACACTGCTTTCTCAGGGGTACTCTGCCTGGCCTCCCAGGACTTCCGAAATCTGGGTGGAAGCCTTCCTGACCCTACAGCTCTTGCATTCTTAGTGCGCCTAAGACCGGTGCCACATGGATGATGCCCAGGTCTGCCACTGGCTGAAGCAGTAGTCAGGCTTCCTTCTCTCTTGGCTGTAGGGGTTGAGTGTGATCACTGAGAACGCTAAACCCAATTCCGAGGAACAAATTCTCTAGGCCACTGCCATTCTGGAACATGGTGCTCTGGGACTTTCTTCTCAAAGTAAAGTCTTTCACTTTTGCAATTTTGAGGCTGCAAAGGGTGGAATCCTGCTGCTTCTTGAGATGCCCTCAGGCCATTTGTATTCTCCTGTTCCTTCTCAGCAATCAAGATCTACTCTGCTCCATCTTTGCAGGTGGCAGCTTTACTGGAGCTTCCTTTCTGGCCAAACTCAAAACATTTTAAATCATTCTGCCAGGCTCTCTGCCCTTGATTCTCAACACAGGTCTGACTAAAAGCCCCCAATAGCAGCAGTACCATGGCCTCAACATTAGCTTGCCTTGAAATTTCTTTGCCGGATTAATTAGTCCACCACCCTTAATTTCAGTTTCAGGCAAAGTCTCTGGACACGAACAAAATGCAGACAAACTTCCTGCCAACCCATAACCACACATCATCTGAAGTCCAAACAGCCAATGCAGTCCTTAATCCCAGCAGAAACCTCCCAAGCCTGGTCTTTACCAGCCTTCTGGTCATCTGAGCTCCAACCAGAATCTCCCATACAAAACAGCCTAAGGTGTACCAGCTCTGCTTCTGTAGCCATATCTCTGAACCTTTCCTAACTCTCTCCCTGTCCACAAGCCAGTTCCAAAGGCTCTTGAGCCACATGTCCAGGTAATGTCACAGCAACGACCCCACTTCTCTGGTACCAAATTTTTGTGTTAGTTACTTCTCTCTCATTGCTGAGACAAAATACCCGACACCCAAAGTTAAAGGGGAAAGGTTAATTTAGCTCACAGTTCATGGAGGTTTTAGTCCATAATTGACTGGCTCCAAGGCAGGGTGGCACATGGCAGGGGACAACAGTTCATGATGGTAGGAGACAGCAGAAGCAACAAGGGCTACATAGCATATTTCAATTCTTTTTTCCATCCCTTTTCCCTTCCCTCCTTCCCCCCTCCATCACTTGATCCTCTTCCCACTTGAACAAAATCTATCTTCCTACTTCCTATTATCTATATTTTATTTTGCCCTTTATTTATAATTTTGATTTCTCATATAAGAGAAGCCATGTGTTATTTAAGCTTGTGTGTCTGATTTATTTTACTTAACATTATGGTCTCAAGGTGCATCATTTATCCTTCTTTATGGCAGAGTAGTTCTACCTAGTGTGTAAGTCCACATTTTCCTTATCCGTTCATCTGTTGATGGACATATAGACTCCTTCCAAGATTTAGCTGTTATGAATTGTGCTGCTATAAACATAGGTATGTATACATCAATGTAGTAATGATGTTCTCTCCTGGGAAGATGCTGTACCTAGAAGGGGAATAGCTGGGTGAAATAGAATTTTTAGTTACGTTATTTTTAGTAATAAAAGATTCTTACTTTATTGAAATATTTATGAATAGAATTATATGACATTTGGGAATTCTTCAAAATAATACAGGGGAGTAGTAAAGAATAGAGGTACAAAGGAACATGATTGTCCATAAATTGACAATTGTAGAGGAAGGTGATAATGTCGGGTAATTATGCTATTCTGCCTACTTTAAAATTTTTTATTTTGAAAAAATTATAGATTCACAGAAAGTTCCTAAGAACTAATACATCTTACCCCAATGACCCTACACCTTCCATCAGTGGTGATATCTTAAAACATAGTATAATAATAAAACCAGACTACTGAGAGTGATGCAATCAACAAAGTATTCAGATTTGATCACTTACACAAGCACTCATTTGCGTGTGTATACACGTGTGTATTTCAATGCAACTTATTCCATTCCTTTGTGCTCATACCGTCCACCACCCACACCCGATGCCTAACCCGTTTTTCATCTCTACAATGCAAGAGCATCATATAAATGGAATCACAAAATGTGTAATTGGGATCGGCTTCTTTCTACTTAGCATAATTTACTTGTAGTTTATTCCAAGTTGTTGCATACCTCTTTGCTTCTGAGTATATTGTATAGTCCCACAGTTTGTTTCAGCATTCACTCACTGAAGGATATGGGGCTGTTTCCAGTTCTAGGCTACGGCAGATAAAACTGCTATGAACATCCATGCCTAGGTCTTTGCATAAACACAGAAGTTTATGGAATTCATGGGAATTCCCAGAGAAAAGAATACCAACCACATTACCTAAAACAACCATTTCCACAGCCTTCAAAACCACATCCTCCTGATGACTTTTTCTGTTGGAGTATTACTGATTTTAAATTACATGTCTTTTAAGCAATGATTGGAATCCCAAATTATTCATGTAGGGAGAGAAAAGCAAAACACAATTTGCCTTGATGGTATCAGGATAGAAATGTGTAGGCACACATCTCTGCCATGCAAGGACTTTTTTGTTAGAGTAAAAGAAAACCCAAACCACAAAAGCTTTCATTAATGAACTAGTAATAAGAAATATCCAGAAGTAATATGTTAGTCATTTGTTTGTTCTAACAATAAAAGACTATTTTCACCAGATGTGGCTTTGATAATGTGATTTGAATTTTTGGCTGCTTTTTAGTAATTTTTATAGATCAGTGGCCATTAGTAGTATTCATAGTTTATATCTAAGGTTAAAATGCAGTAGAACAGGGTTTGAAGATTTAGCTTCATGGTAGAGAACTTGCATAGGAAATGTGAGGCCCTGGATTTGTTCCTTAGCACCATCAAAAAATAAATACAAAGCAATAAAACAAATTTTATGTTATTATTAGCAAATACAGCATAAAACATACGCAGCTAGTATCTTTCCTGTTAGAATCACACACATATGCACATATACATATGCATTCTTATATTTAGAATGTGTAACACATGGGAAAACAAGAGTTAGAAAATTCCAGGACAAGAAGAAAACAGATGCATTACCAAAATCTGAACATTTTTGGTAGGCTTTCTAAATAGTAACTGAGATAAGTATACATCCAAAACAAATAAAAATCTGTTGAAAACATTTTTCTTATTTCATAAAATAGAGAATAAAAATATTCTCATTATCATTATTAAATTATCATTATTTATATACATTTACACAGCTCTTGTAACATAAGGCCAATTAAATTGTCACAAGTTGATACTCAGTTAATGACATTGAAATTTATCCATGTTTTTTTCCACCTTCAGAGAATTGTTTCTAGTTTAGTAAGACCGGGGAAGTCAGCTCACTGAAGTCATCATGGATCAGACGAATGCTTCTTTATCTCTCAGGCAAAGCCTTCTAGGGTCAAAGCCTTCCAGTTCCTTCTCCTGTGAAGAAAGGAGAGCCCATATTTTCATTCCTGTCTTGGTGATCTCAGAAAGTTTGGTTTAAACCATTGCCCGTCGTCCCCAAAATTTAATGGCTGAAGGCTGATATTGAGTTCAGTTAACTCTGAAGAACCAGGGTTTGGGCAGAAGACAGCCCATCCTGCATCACTGAGGCTGTTGTTATAGTTCAGATCCAGTTTGGCTGGATGACCTGTCCCTGTGACTGATGCTGGAAAACAAAATTACTCCATGCTACTTTCTATCTGGGCTATTTCTTATTTTCAATAACACAGAATCTGTGGGATTATAATGACAAGATTAGTAATTAGTAAAGATTTGGTTTTAGTTAGAAGTTTTATTCAGGGAATGTGAATGAAAATTTCCTCTCATCTCACATGCAGCTTGAAACTGGATCATTTTCTTTTTCCAAATCCCTACCCAAAGAATTTCATTGTTGGTAAGCTCCTGCTCTTAACAATACAAGCTTTCTGCTCCCCTGGAGCCCTGCATCTCCTGTAGACTTTTTCTAACTACATGTATGGAGGGACAACGCATTGGCTGTAACCAGGAACCTTCTATAAACCGTCTTGTTCCTGTTTAATACTGTTTAGTTATTCATTGCTCATGCATTCTGTCATTCTTCAAAAAATACTTATTTACTTGAGCATTTTCCATGTGCGAACACAACACTTCCCCAGCTGTGTGTGGGAATAAAGATGCACAGGTGCACACACTGTATGAGGGCGATGACCCTCCCTCATCCACATGTGGTGTTAGAACTTTCTGACTGACTTCAGATGATTGTCGTCCATCAGGGGGAGTGTGGACAGCCCACTTTCACAGACAAACTTCAGGTCTTTTTCAAGATCCATGTTTACAGTAGTTTTCATGTGTTTCTTAACAATTTAAGGTAGGTAAAACTCTACTAACATTTTTATGGTTTCTGTTTTTTAAACTGTGTCACTGATGAAGCTGTAGAGTGTTGTATATCTAGCCATAAGCTATGTGATGATTACTGTGTGAATTTTTGCATGGCAACTGATTCTTTTAACCAAAACATTTATTGGTACATTTTAGATATACATAATGATAACATTCATCATAGGGAATTTGTACCTGTACATGATATATCTTATTTCTTTCTTTCCCATGCCCCCATTGACCCCTCTTCCCCTCCTTATATACAAAAGCTTTGTTTCTATTTTCCCTTCTATTTTCTCCTTTTTGCCTTGTTTCTTCTTTCCTTTCCCCCCTCCCCTCTCCCTTGTTCCCCTTCTCATTTGAACACCTTCCCATTTCCCAATATCTGTTATACATTTTAGTCCTTATTTCCACTTTTGGTTTCTCACACTAGGGAAACAATGCAGTATTTAAACATGTGTGTTCAACTTATTCCACTGGAGAGTATGGTCGCAAGGTATATAACCCCTGATTTGTAGGTACACATGTTATGGCATAGCAGAACTCTGTCACACAGAGAACACCAATAGGCTTCTTGGAGTGGCTGGGCCAGGCCGAACCCTTCATTTTGAGGAGTGCTCATTGCTTCAGAGATCTGGTGGCAAAGGACTGAACAATGATGGTGGACAAAGCTAATGGAAGACAAAGACAGATTCTCTAGTCCATTGCTTCATAACGGGAAGTGGCCCTCTATAGTGATTTCAGAGGGAAGACTTTAAATTACCCAAACTCTCAGTGCAAACATTACACTTTATTCAATTCTATTTCTGTCTTTCTAAACTGACACGGACAATGTGTCAGACTGCTGCTCCACTATGCTGTTGGCCCTCTCATCTCCTTTTTCAGCAAAGAGAAAATGAGCCTCGACTCAAGGCCTTCAGCAGGCAGCAGTCTATCTATGAGAATAGATACTCGTATTTTAGTAATGTCAATTATCGGTTTCTTACTTAAATAAAAACATTTAAAAGTCACCTGAGAGGAAAAATCAGGTAATACTGCAAGTATGCAGAAAGGTCAAAACTCGTAAAAGTGAAATATAGCTGAAGGAAGTTTGGACACTGAAGACTCCGGCATGGCGGAGGTGTGGGGCAGAAGCTGTTAAGACTGGCAGGAAGCTCCCCACTTACTCTTCATCTTCTCTTACAAAACACCCTGCCCTGTCATTTGGTTTTAGAATTGCCCTGGTTTTAACCAAACTTCTTCTAAGTTGATGTTGGGGCGGAATTAGAAGCTCATCAGGGCCCTTAGCCCCAGGACTTAATGACTCCTCCGCCTCCTCACCCATGTGCTCTGCAAGGCAGGCACATCATGCTCCGCACACCAAGACTACGTTGGAATGAGTCCATACAAACCCCAGACAGCCGCGGCCTCTGTCAGGGAACAGCTGCTCAGCCTCAGCACTTGAAGAGCTGCTGAAGGCTTTACTGTTTCCAGAAGCAGCTTCGAGTTACCAGCAACGTATTTATTCCAAGAAAGATCGAATATTTCAAGAGCAGGGAGGTGAATGGGGGCTCTTGCTAAAAGTGGTAATGATAAGAACACATAAAGATCGTAAGCTTGGAGTTTGAGAAAAGTGGACCAGAGCAATGTATAAATATAACCAAGGTTGAGCAAGTTGTAAAGTCCGTTTTCTTCTGTCTTCAATTCCTGGCATTTATTTATGTTGACTATTTGTAGTTGGAGAGATATTGGAAACTTTAGAAAAGTAGAACTTGATTAAACTATCAAATTAGGTTTCTTTCCCTCACTTTCTGTTTAGGGAAGAGAATGAAGCAAAATGCTTGGACAACTAGGGAAGATTTTCAGAATAACTTATGGTCACTGCTGAAATTCACAGGTGAGGCCAAGGCTCCCTAAGACTGCAGAACAAGATGTATTTGTGTTTACTCCACTGCAATTACTGAAGCAAGAAAGAGAACTAATGTAGTTTGGAAATATTCTCAAAGAAAATCAAAATATCTTTTGCTTATTTCTCAGTTGACCCCACTGTTAAAATTAACCAAAAACAACTTATTCTCACGTATAATAGTTAAAATGCACTTTAACTGTTCTGTTTTCTTCCTAAAAAATTATGTATCCAAGAAGAAAATATCTATTCTTTTATGATATCTAAAAAGAAAATCTTTCCCATTCATGTACAAATACCTTCAATACAGTTTTTCCTTTTTCTTATAGAAGCAATTTGGAGTATATATAACTTACATACATAGCTATACATACTTGATTTCAGTTGAATGATAGGTTTATGTCAAACTATATAATTTAGTGTAATAGGTACTTGACTATGATTCATTGATTGTGTGAATGGAGTTAGAGCTATGTCTTCTGATGACTGCTATTTTTAAAAAATTCAGAAGTATATTTATGAAACATGTTGTCCTCAAATTTATTCTTTCATAGGACTTTACTAATTGAACATTAGTCTGAGCAATAGAATATGTTATAGCCATTTGGTGAATTATAGACCCCTTAGGGAGGTTTGCTTATTTGTTTATCTACTTACTTAACTAATACCTAAAATGTGCTTCAGGTATGTCACAAAGACTAAAAACAACCCTCCCCTCAAGGAAGTTATAGTCTAGAGGAAATACAGACATTAAACAACCACACAAATAAATACATAATTAGAAATTCTAGTAAAGACTATAAAGAAGGTTCTAATTTAGAGAGGCAAGGAGCCATCCTAGGAAGAGGCATTTATACCGGGCCCTGAAAAATGGGGTCAATACTCCCCAGGAAAGAATAGAGACTAAGGAAGGACACTCCAGAGAAAGAACAGCCTGTGGTGAATGAGAGCCCAGTGACATGGAGAAACAGAAAGAATTCAAGCAAGGCTGGGTTCAGGGAGCAGAGGAAAGTAGCTGAGAGGACTGGGACTGACTCACCAGGGCCTTTTAGGCACATGAAGGAATTTGGACTTCACCAGAGGTGCTCCAAGAAAGTCATTGCCTACTTTTAAACTGAGCAATGATTAGATCCAGTTTGCTTTTAAAATAAAATGTGTAGACTCTATCCCTACAATAACATTAACAACTAATATTTATTGAACATTAACAACTAATATTTATTCCCTTTGGGTCAGGCTGCTTTCCAAGAACTTTACATGCAGTAACCCACTTAATCCTTATAATCTTGTTATTCCAGTTTGTAGTTTAGAGAGGAGGAAATTGAAGCACAGAGGTGTTAAGTACCTGAGGTTGCACAGTTCGCAAGAGCCAGTGCCAGGAGCTGATTGCAGTCTGATTCTAGATGTGTGGAGCCAGGGATGAGCCAAACACTCCCCTCACAGAATAACTACAACCAATTTCAGGACATCTGCAGGCCCCATCGAGCACATCTATAGACCCCCTGGGGCCCCAGATGAAAGCCAGGTCTGGGTAGCAGAACTTTCCCCATGCGGACACACAGCAATGCGCTGCCCGATGCTGGGGGAGGGCTGGTGCAGAGCATAGCAAGGACCAAGGCTCTGTGGTTGAATATGACACTCAGGCTGAAAACGAAGGCAAGAGTGCTCTAAGTATAGAGTTCTTAGAATTTGGGGTAAGTTAGATGCACTTATTTTAATTAATAGGTATTAATAGTCTCTCATTTCTATTCATGGAATGCATTTATTTCAGTAATAGTAGTTCCCATCTGGTTCACAGTACAATTCATTTTTAAGAAAGTGAGATGGGGAGAGGCAGAAGGAAGGGAGAGGAAAGGAAGGTAAAAAGAACGAAGTGTCATGTACATGCACCAACTCCCCGTGATGAATGCAATTATTATGTATTGCAAATATGTACTAATAAAAATAAAAAATTAAAAAGCTACTAAAATGCCAAAAAAGAACTATTTATTCATTCAAAAGAAGAAAAAAGTATCAAATGACACACTTGAGAAAGGATCAGGGAGAAGGCCTATTTCGTTGCCCACAAAGCACCCAAGTCCAGCAAATCTGGTCATGTGTACATGTGCAGAAAAGCGTTACCACAGCAGGCCTGAGACTGCTCCCCCAGGAAAGCCAGCCATGAGCCAGGACCATTGGCCTTTGGCTGGCATCTGGGAACTTGGAGTTAGGGACTGTTACCACCATTCCCTAACTGATAAGGGTGGTTTACTGTATCTAACCTGATGTACTAGTAATTTAATTTATGCTGGGCACCAGCTTTCCTTCTGTGAGCCTAGAATTCTGGAATGTGCTCTATATATGATGGCCCTCAATAAAACCCATGGACTTGAAAGTTCAGGTGAGTGTCACTTGTATACAACATTTCACACATGTTGTCACAATTCATTTCTGCAACAATGAAGTGTGTCTTGTGTGACTCCACTGAGAAAAAACTCTTGGGAGCTTACATCTGGTTCATTTGGACTTTTCCTCATGCACCTTTTTCTTTGCTGGTTTTGCTTGGTGTCCTTTCACTGTGATGAATCTTAGCCATGAGTATAACTATATGCTGAGACCTCTGTCCTCCTAGTGAAGGGCTGCTGCTGGGGACCTGGAAGTGGTGTTGGGGACCCCCCAGCATCTTATGTACATAGTGCTGGTTGCACCTGCGTGGTATATTTGGAAAAATGCTATTAAGTCCTTCTGCCGCAAAATTTCTCTCTCTCTACTTGTTGACCATGCTTTTGCCCCCAAGTGGGCAGAAATTTCTGATCCACAAGACCCTTGATCTAGGCTGGAATGTATCTATGACCTCCAGGCATACCTAGATTCCAGAGACAGTACGAGTCCTTGCAAAAGTGGGTGCTGGGCAGTCAGAGAGGCTCACAGACCAGCAAATCCATCCAACTCACAGTAAGCCTGATTCATACTGATGCCTCAGCAAAATTACACACTACCACAGATGTAGACCCCTCTAGAGTTGGGTGGACACAGTTTAAACTTTAAATGTTAAATCTGCAAATGCCAGCATCATTAACATGACCCGCAAGTGATTCCTCTTAAGAGAATGCAGCTCCTGAAAACAAGATAAATTAGTACTTCATGTCTTCCCTGGGGCTGAGCCTTGGAATGAAGTTTGTGTGTGGAGGAAGTGACAGCCTCCTCGTCCCCCCACATGTTACAGTGCCTGCAGGGATCTGGGCAGTTTTCATACCCAGAGCTGTGAAAGTGTCACTTTCCAAAGTACCGTTGTTGATTAGTCATGACTGCAATAGCAGTAAAAATTGGAGGCTGCTGAATAAGAACAGCTGCCTATCTTTTTCTTAGCTGATGAATCCAGTTCTTGAAGAGTTACGAGTAGAAGTATAGCTGGGCTGTTAAGATACCAGAGGTGACTGTAATGCATTATCTCACAGAGGGCATCTGGATGTTAGCTGCCCCAATCTTCTTAACTGGGCAGCTCTCCCCTCTGTGATCCTACCCTTCCTTACACACCCTGATAAGCCTTCCAAACTAGCTTTCTACCCAGTATGCTGCTCTGGCTTTTCTACTTCCCAGTCTCTCCCCAGACTAGACGTGCAAAGACTTTGCAGATAGAAAGAACTGGGTTCTAATCCTAGATCTGTTAATAACGAACTCTGAGGTTTCAGATAAATTACTTACCCTCTCTGTGCCTTGGCTGACTCAATCATAAAATACTTGCTGCATGGAATCCTTGGGAAGACACAATGACTTGGTCTATGTAAAGTGTTTGGCCCAGGACCTGCCACATATTCATGCTTGATATTATCATTCATGTCTCAGAATTTAAGCACCAGAAGGCAATTAAAATGGTCAATCAGAATGGTACCTGTTGGTGACAGCACTAGCACAGGGTCCTGAGAGGCCCACTGTTCCAGAAGTTTCCCCTAGTTCACTATCTCTGCAACATTTCCCGCCTGCAGGCCTTTGTTAAGAACTAATACAATAGTAGTGGGGGACCTCAATACCCCATTGTCACAAATAGATAGATCAACTAGACAAAAAAAAGCAATGAAATACTAGAACTCAATCAGACGCTTGAACAGATGAACTTAACAGATGTGCCTAGATGGCGCCACAGCAGGAAACAGTACCCTGGAACTCCATGGGGCCAACTCACCTCCTCAGAGCCTTCCAAGGCCACTCCAGCCAAAATAACCCTTGGCCACTATCATAGCACCCTCTTTTATTTTTATCAGACCACACAATTGCATTACATGATATCTTCTTATTTATGTATTTGCTTTCTACCTTCCTTCTCTGAAGATGAGCGCAGAGATGGACAGACCACCTTGTTCCCAGAGTTGGGATCAGCACCCAGAATATCAAGGTACAAAAGCTTCTGGAGGGAGGGGCAGAGGTCAAAGGAAAGAAAGTGAGGGTAGGCAAGTGAGGTGACATTTGTGATCCCATTGGTGTAGGTATTTCCCTCTTATAACCCCACCCCAAGCATTTGAATTTTACCATGTAATTTGGATAGATATTGTTTTATTTCTGCTGTGACCAGACTGAAGCTCTGACTGTAGCCCATGGCACAGTGCCTCACACAATTAGAGGACTAATCAATAGTTATTGGCTGAACTATCTTCTGATTCTTTTTTATTTGCAATGGTCAGATAAATGAATACTCAATTGATTAACATTATAAGGCATACATCAGAATGAATTTTCATTTCCAACTTTTTCAAAATTAAGCATAAGGAGAACAAAGCCATTTACTTCAACTATTAAATAATCATTAGCTTTCCGAGACCATTCACTGTGTCAGTGGCTGGCTGCTTATCCCTGTTATGCTAGTGATAACAACTGCGATCCTCCATCACTTTAATTTTCTGCTCAGTAACAAGATAAGATATAAGAGATGAGGAAGGCTGGAGGGGGGAGAGGAGAGGAGAGGAGATAAGAACGTAACATGTTTACAGAATGTTCCACCCCACAAAATCAGAATACACATTCTTTTCAGCTGCACATGGGTCATTCTCCAAAATAGACCACATACTCACTCAT